ATATATATATATATATATATATATATATATATATATATATATATATATATGTAACAAGATGTTTCATGAATAAATGATCAAACCCTAAATATTGTTCAGTCATGATCATTGTAATGCCTATTCTCACGCATAATATTTCCATCAGTTCTTATAAGCTCCAGGGTAAGCGGAAAAAACAGATCAAACACTGATCGTCTTTCTAAAAACCCCTATTTTTTCGAAAAATTGATATTGCGTCATTCACTCATTTTCAATGATGAGAAGAATTTGTTAAAACATTTCGATTTGAAAAGAATGAAACAAAAATATATCTTTTGAAACGTTCCGGTCGAGTGTTTATGTCTTTCAAAACTACGCAATCATTGCGGGAATGAACACGTGCAAAGAATCAAATTGCAGCTGGTTAAAAAACAATTTTTGGACTTGTTGACTGCGTAGCCGTTCAAAAAAATCATAAACGGCTGTAACCCTGTTACAGTCGGTAAACTTGACGTGGACACGTCTATGTTATCCATGCTTGGATAGTTGTCACCGAGAAATAGCTTGAAGATTTCAACTTGTGATTGGAAATTTCATTTTAGGTAAATTTGACGAGAGAAATATGAAGAAGAAATTGCTTTCGATTCCCCGAAAATACAAATTACTGTAGAAGAATTCATAAAATATCCGTCGGGAATTGTTTATTCCTTTGAAATTGCAGGTAGCTGTATCTTTGATACAGCTGTAATTGTACGTCCATACGTCTGCGCTCTTTCTTTCTCTCTCGAATATCCTAGAAATTCCTTACGTTCCCTCGAATTTTCTAGAAACTCCCTGAAATCGCCCGAAATTTATAAAAGTCCCTTTAATTTCCTCAAATTTCTGGAAACTTCTCGAATTCCTTCGAAATTTCTAGAAACTCCTTGCATTCTTTCAAATTTTCTACAAACTCCCTTAATTCCCTCGAAATTTCTAGAAATTCCTTGCATTCTTTCACATTTTCTACAAACTCCCTGAATTCCCTCGAAATTTCTAGAAACTCTTTGAATTTTTTCGAAATTTCAAAAAACTTCTCGAATTACCTCGAAATGTCTAGATTTTTTGGAATTCTGATAAATGGCGCTGCACATAAGAACCGTTTCCCAAAATGACCATAGACATGACCATATACTGAAACCATGGACGTATCCACATCAAAAATATTCCAACTGTTCACTTCTCGCGGTATTAATAGTTCCGCTGCAGATTTAAGACTACCGCTGAATTGCACCGCTCCCCCTTATATAGGGATTTTTTAATCTAGAAATTCGTAAAATGAAAATTTCTAGAGAGGTTAGTCGATAACTTATCCTAAAATACTCAGTCGGTAATTTATCAGCAATCAAATTATAGTTCACGTGCGATTCAATAGATGGCGTTGAACATAACGGTTTTCTGAAATAACCCCCCGGCTTGACACCATGGACGTGTCCACGCCAAAATTCTGGAAATTATTAGGTGTACAAATAAGTTTTAGGACACTTTGCAAAAAATTTAAAATTCATTTTCGAAAAAAATGAACTACATTTATTCATCACAATAATCTCCATCATTTTGAATGACCTTCAGCCATCTGTTAGGTAATTCACGGATGCCTTCCGCAATGAAAGTTTCATCGTGCGAGGCGAGGAAATTATCGAACCATTTTTGCACTCCTTCAAACGTTTTGAATCACACATCAGTCAATTCGTTTTGCAGCGTCCGAAACAAGTGAAAATCAGTTGGAGCTAAGTCTGGTGAATACGCCGGGTGTGGCACAACTTCCCATCCAAGAGCCATTAACGTATCTTTGACCGGTTTACACACATGAGGCCTGGCGTTGTTATGGAGCAATTTCACTGGACGTTTTCCTTTGCCAGTAAATGGACGTTTTTGTTCAATTTCTTGGTTCAATCTTATTAATTGTTCACAATAGCGATCGGCAGTAACTGTCTCGCCAGACTTCAAAAGTTCATAATGCGGTACGCCTTTCATATCCCACCATATGTACAGCATGATCTTCTTACAGTGAATATTGCGCTTCGGTGTCGACGTCATCGGCTCGCCGGGGTTAACCCAATGATATTTGCGTTCTGGATTATCAAAATAAATCCACTTTTCATCGCCAGTCACAATTTTCCAGAAAAAAGACTTTGTATGTTACTTATTGTAAAGATTCAGACATATGTCAAGTCGGCTATCTTTATTTTCTTGAATCAAAAAGTGTGGCACCCACTTTGTTCCTTTTCGAATCTTTCCCATTGCGTTTAAGCGAAAGGAAACGGTCTGTTGAGTTACTCCAAGCTGTTCTGCAAGTCTTTTTTCCGTCTGGCAAGAGTTTTCGTCCAGCAACGCTTGCAGTTCCTGGTCATCCACCCTTACATGGACCCCGGTACGTTCACGGCCACTAACGTCGAAATCACCTTCTTTAAATCGCTTATACCAATACTCACATGTACTTTTAGATACAATGTTGTCCCCAAGAACAGAACAAATCGATTGACATGCTTTCCTATCAGTTTTCCCTTGATAGAATTCATAGCGAATGCAGTGTCTAATAAATAGCTTATCGGACTGCATCTTTTATTCACAGAATTTAAGGTTATGTTTATGACTCCCTTATGTTTTGATACTACATAACAAACCCCACCATATTATACGTAAGCGGTAACTTTGAATTACTTTCATGACACGGAATCGAAGTGTCCTAAAACTTATTTGTACACCTAATACCTATCGCGTGATCGTTGGAAACAATTCTTACAACAGTTGACTTCGCTTTCGGTCAAAAACAATTCTTAGAACTATTTACATCTTTCTGAAATACCGCGTGAACATTCGGAAACAATTCTCGAAACTGTTTACATAGTTGTCAGTCAAAACAATTCTCAGAACTGTTTATGTATCATCTACAAATATTGCGTGATTCTTCCGAACGAATCCGAGTCGAATATTAGGACCTGAATTCCCCCCTTGAACACCTATCATGAGTAGGAGGACCAGAATGAAGTTAGGGTGTATTTACATTCAGAAAGACCCCCTGGTTTCCGCCTGAACGTGCGAGTTATTTCCAAATTCCGAGGGTTCAGGAGTAAAACAATAGGTGTGTTAAACCTATTTATCGCCTGCACCCCCTAAAATGTTTTCCACTCCGTCTATCCTGGAAAGTACCTACAAACCCTTTCGAGGTATTTTTTTATTTATTTTTAATTATTAACATGAGAAGTACGGGTGAAAATTAACGTCATACTCAAGGGTCAAAAATAACGGTCAGAAACGACAGTCAAAAATAAGGGTGGGAATTTCAGTAATTTTCACCGCAAACAGAAATAAACAAAATAGTGAGCTACTTAATCATCCTGGCTATCAGGGTTAATTAAGGGGATTTATGATTCCTTTTCATTCGACAGTAGGAAAAGGGGGAAAAAAGTATCAGTTGAGAGGGGTTTTTACGCCTTTAGGATGAGGCAGGATCATATAAGGAGTTATTCAGGATGTATAGGATGAAGAAAGGAGGAAAAAATATCTCAAGGAGGTAATAGGAGGGAATAAGGTCCAGATATACGACTCGAGGAGGTAATAGGGGAGAATAAGGTCCAGATATTCGACTCGAGGAGGTAATAGGGGGGAATAAGGTCCAGATATTCGACTCGGGAAAATATCCCAATAGAATAAGTAGTAGTATAGAAAAAAACTTGAAAAATTTTTAACTGAGTAATTTCTATCGAAGTCTATTAATTTTTCTACAGGATATTTTCAATCAAATCGGTTCAAAACTTATAGAAAGTTCAATATCTCACCGGGAAAGGCGATGATTGGGACCTTCCTCATTATAGAAACCAATTCTCCCATTCTAATGACTGGGAGAAAATGGAGTGTAACGAGTAGCAAGTGCATGCAACATTCATATATTGACTATTGACTTGAACTTGACCTGAATTTTTTTTTTCAAAATGAAACTTTTCAACAACAAATGATGCTATCATCCCCAGATTCGAATTTAACCAAGATGACATCCAAACGAATATTTAAAGCCATCATTGAAAAGCTTCTGAAAATTATTTTTTGAATGATTATGGAAAAACAAAATTTGAAAAAAAGCTCATACATACATACGAATATGATCTCAAAAAAGCATATTTAAATTCCTGTGATAAAAGAAATGCAAATTTCTGATTTGACGAATACAATGCTTCCATTCGGAAGTAAAAGGATTATAAGTACATTTACTTGAGGATAATAAGTAGAATATATATATATATATATATATATATATATATATATATAT